TTGTTTTTGTTTTCTGAGACAGGGTTTCTCTGTGAAGCCTTGGCTGTCCTGGACTTGCTTTGTAGACCAGGCTGGCCTCAAACACAAAGATCTGCCTGTCTCTGTCTCCCTGAGTGCTGGGATTACAGATGTGTACCGCCCCCACCCCAGCTGTAAGTTCTCTTTTCAATAAATAATAATTTATGGAAATCTGTCGCTCACATCTGGGAGGGGCACTAAGGAAAAAGCACTAAAAGCAGAAACCAACATCTCCAAGACTCTCTTTGTCTCTGACTTTTGCAGACAGGTGTAGCTACACAACGAGAAAAGGTGAGGGAAGCAGTCCTTTGCAGCCTAAATTCAGGTTTGGAAAAAGGGCTTCTTTCTCTCAAAATCAGTATCCATTTCAGAGAAGAGTCTAGTAGGACAAGTTGGTTCTGGCTAGTCCCGAGTTACAGGACCGTCTGTTTTTAATTGTTGTTGTTTAGATAGAATCTCACTGTGTCACGCTGGCTATTCTGGAATTCACCATGTAGACCAGAGTGGGTCTTGAACTCTCTGAGGTCTACCTGCCTCAGATTTCCAAGTCCTGTGATTATAGGCATGCACCACCATCACTACCACCACACACACACACACACACACACACACCCCACCCCACACCACACCACACCACTCAAAAACACACTATGTAGCAAAGAATACCACAGAACTAACGTGGAATCATCCTGCGTCACTGTCAGAAAGAAGCCTGTGTCTTTTCGGTGTGATACCATGCAATTGCAACATCTGGTAACAGATAATAGGATGCCAGGACTTCTAGGCACTGGTTCAAGGTTGGGGCAGAGACAGGCGTGTCCTTTCAATGAGCTGGAAGCTCAAGAAGGGTGGGAAAAGTTGGCACAGGCTGTATTCTCCAGAACAGGATATTCATCTTCACCTACCCACAGGTCTGGACAGCCAGGGATGGTGTCTCTGGGAGAGGTCAAGAAAGTGGGTGTGTGGCCACTAGAGGTGATCAGAGGTGGGGTGTGTGTGTGTGTGTGTGTGTGTGTGTGTGTGTGTGTACATATGTATGTATTGTATTAGTAGCATGGACCAACCAAATAGTAATTACTGCCATATACCATGCCTAAAGGTTTCGTCTGTTTGTGGGTATATCGAGGCTGGTGAGGGCGTGAATGGAGCAGAGCCTCTAGGAACAGGGCACACAGATGATCACAGCCAGGCTTGGTCTGTTCACAGCTGTGAGTTTTACCAAGTGCCAGTCCTTTGCCTGACAGTGTACGTCAGCGATGTTAGGTACATGGAATCTATGCGTCATTTTTCCTTCTCACAGCAACCCTAAACTAGATCTAGAATCATAGGCGTGGGTCACCCAACACAGCTTCATTGCCTCTGGTTTCAAAATGAGGAAGGCTGGGGTCACAGCTCAGTTGTGCAGGGCTTAATAAAAAGCATGCCAGGCCCTGGGTTGGCTTCTCATCACTGCATGGCAAGCAAACAGACAAACAAACAAACCCAACCTAACCCAGACTCTAGTTGGGAAATCTCTGCATGCCTCAACCGCTCAGGCAGAATCATGGCAAATTCAAGCCTAGCCTGGGCAATATGACAAGAAGTCATCTCAGCAACAGCAACTCTCGCTGTTAGCACACCTATTAGTCCCTGGGGTTGATCCCTAGAACAAGCAAAGAGGGAAGGGAGGGAGGGACCGAGGTTGGGTTGCATAGAAGGTGAATGGCTCACAGCTGGGATCAAGCTGGACTCTTCTGTACCTGTTTCCATTCAGGCTGCCTCTGCCACAGTGAACCAGCTGCAAGCCTGGGGTGGGTAAGTGAGAGCGCAGTGGGGCCCAGCAGAGGTGGCTTGGCCACCTGCAGCTTTCCCAGCTTTCCCAACTGCACGCTTCCTGCGCGTCCCTTGTCTTTCAGGTCCTCCGTGACAGACAAATTGCTATCTGTCACACACAGTGTTTCTCAAGGGCTTGTTCTCTAGGTTGATGATCCTGCCTGGACTTTTCTAGTCTGCCCTGTTTGCCGCAGGAAACGCGGCTGAGTGCTTGGGAGGGCCCTGCAGTGGAAAGTCAAGGGGTACCATGTCACTAGAATTACAGAAATGCCTGCAGCTCCAGCTCTCCCTGCATCTATGCTGGCTTGCTGACCACTGCCCCAGGAAGCTACCCCTCCTGTGCCTACCCCTACTCATACCCTCAGCGCTAACACTCCTCACCAGGCCTCCCGGGCTCCTCCAGGCCTCCCAGGCTCCTCCAGGCCTGTCCCTGCCACCTTTCACCCTTAGAAAGGCAACAGGCCTGGGATTATCAGCCAGCCATAGCTGCACACACTTCCATTACTTAAAAGTATTTGACTACTGGCCAGTCACGTGGCCCAGTTGGTATAGGGCTCACCTAACATTTATGAAGCCCTGTGAATGCCCAGTGTGGAAGAAACTGGGCATGGTGGCCCGTGACTGTTCCCTCAGCACTCAGAAGGTGAGGTCAGAAGAATGAGGAGTTCAAGGTTATCCTTGGCTGCACAGAAACTTTGATGCCAACCCGAGCAACATGAGACCCTGTCTCAAACCAAACCAAACCAATCCAAACCCCCAGATCTAATAAAACTGCTGTTGAATGAAAAATAGATGTATTTTCACTAGACAATCTTGTCTTGAGCATTCAAGTTAAATGAAGTCCAGATTATCAGTTTAGAGAAACTTGAGATAGACCTAATGAACTTTTCAGCAAACACTTGTCACCAACTGTATTCCAAACCCTGACTACCTGGTATCAGGCAGGAATGGCAGGCTGGTCCTGGGGATGATAGAACAGCTGCTAATTAGCTAGGAGGAGAGAAGGGAGGTGGGGAAGGCCAGGGTAGGATGGGTCCCTGGGAAAGGGCTCAGCAGCTGAGCAGGTGCTAGGCCAGCTCTGGGCCATGCTCTTTTCTCTTTCACTTTTGTTTATTTGGCGGGGGGGGGGGGGGGGCGGGAGGACGGCGGGAGTGTTGTTGCCACAGCACACACATGGAGATCGGAGGTTAATTTAGCCACGTGGTTCTCTCCTACCCTGTGGGTTCCACAGTCGTCAGGCTTAGCAGAATAGTGACCCCACACACTGACCCACTCCGTGGCCTGTTGTCCTAAGAGCCATGGTCTTTTCTGTTATCTGGGTCTCTAATTTTTGTACAGTTCCCACTACCTGCACTGTGAATTATGAACGGAAGTTACCTTGGGGGTGTGTGTGTGTGTTGGGGGTTATTTTGAGACAGTTCCACTGGACTAGAACTCCCTATACAATAACCAGCTGAATCCCCCATAGAGTACTCCTGGGGCCAATAACACGGGCACTCTTAGCTATGTCCTCCCAGTATACTGATTAACCTGGTTGAGAACCCCGTAAAAAGCCTAAAAAGGCTTTTGAGTCCTGGAAGCAGGGGCCTCCACCAGGACTGCTAAAAGTGTAAAATAGATAAGAGCACCCCCCCCCAAGTCTACCCCAAAGCGCCAATGTCTCACACCCCAAGAAGTCCCTAGGTGCATGGAGAAGCGGTAGGAGAGAGAGGGGGGCTTGAAGAAGCGGCCTGGGCTGACGCCACTTCCAGGAAGCAGAGAATCCCTACCCTGCAGCTTCCTCAGCCCGGCTCCTAGTCCCCACTCCCGCAGCCCTAGGGCAGGTGCTCTCTGACCAGGCGCCCCGGCTTGAAGCTGCTTCCCTGCTGGGCCTTTGAAAGCAGCAGTTAATTGACCCGAATTCTCAGCTGGTCTGGAAGAAGGGGGACGGAGTGCCGCCCATGAGGTGCTTCTTATGCGGAAGGCCCTCACTTAAGCCTCCTAACCGGAGGTCGATGATTGTGCAGGGACAATTATCTTCCCATCTATTACAGCTGAGGGAGGGTAATCTGCCAGAGGGTGATGACGAACGAAGGCGACCGGGAACGCTCCCGCAGCCCACGTGGCCCGCCCCACCCCCGCCTCGCATATGCAGATCCCCAGACCCTGGCTTCCGCCCGGGCACCCCTTAAGTCTCCCTGCTCCTCCAGACCCCAGCTTCCGAGGGGCGGTCCAGAGGTATTGGGGCGCAGCGTGGCACCAATCGGAGCCGTGACCTCCGTGCCAGCCCCCGCGCCACGCGGCCCCTGAGCTGCCCTTTGTTTCCCAGCGCTCGAGACTTCTGCGGAGTCATGGTCACGTGGTGCTTCCGGCACGGGGTGTTCCAGGCTTCCCGCCAGGGCCTGGAGACGCCCCCGCTCTCGGCCAGCCTGTGGGTTGCTGGCTGCCAGCCCAGCCCGGAGCCCCTTGTTCCTGCTGGTCCCACGTGCTGCCAAGCAGCTCAGCTCCGGGTCGCAGAGCCTCTAGCGTGCAGTGCCCCAGGCTCCTAGCGCCTCTGTTCAGCCTCCTTTAGCTTTTCACTGGAGACTGTCTCCTGGTATCCTGTGAGTCCTAAACTCTAGACATCGAATGCTGGCCATCAGCCTTCTCTCCCCTCCGGAAACCCTGCAGACTAACAAGGTGCCAGCCACAGCCTCAGTCTCCTCAGTCTTAACTGGGTGGTAGAGCCTGCCTTGAGCCTCCTTCTCTTCCTTAGCCAAGGCCTACAAGCATAAGGCCTGGCCCTCCTCTTCTGGCAAAGGGCTTAGAAGGACAAAAGCCTGAAGCAGGTAGAAATGGGTCCTGCCCCTCTGCAGCCTAGCCTATCAAGTGGGCCCACACAGCAAATCACCCCATTCCTCTTAGGAACTGTGAGGTCTTCTGGGGAAGGCCTCTGGTTCTCAGCACATTCCAGAATTCATCCGCAGGGCTGAAGGGACAGCTCAGCGGCTAACAGCTCTTCCTGCTATCCCCAGTACCTCATCTGGTGGCTCACACCTCTGACCCCCACACTCCAGTTCCAGGGTATCTGAGGCCTCTGGTCTCTGCGGACCCTGGCACTCACATACAGAGTGCTCACACACAGATGTATCTACTGTGATACTTACATTTGAGGAAAAAGATATTAAAAAATAATTCAGTCAGTAAGCGTTTATTGAAAGTATACTGTGTGCTGGAAACCATGTACTGGGTGCCTACTCCCCAGGAGAAGTCAGTGCGCCGATTCCACAGTCTGCCTAAGGAGAGGCAACGTCTCTTGAGGAAGCCAACCTCCCCAGGCAGCCTGTCTCAACGCCGCTCATTTTGAACCTGCAGGGACTTTAGGGTGGAGGGTGGGCAGGGGAAATAAAGCAGCCTAGAGTGGGCGTGGGGAGGACTGAAGGGGCACCCCGTCTGCCAAAGGGGGACTTGTGTGCCGCGGTTCTTCAGGGCTTGGTGGGGAAGAGCAGGCAGGTGGATCCCCGGCTGCCGCTGTGTCGGTCCACCAGGGGCAGTGCGTGCTTCCTGTAGTGCTGGACCATGGCGGCCACAGAGGAGAAGAGCTGTAGGAGGCGCGGCAGCAGTGGGTCCCTTGAGCTTTATTCTGCCAACAACTTTCTAAGCAACTGTGGGGCCTGGCGGGGGAGCTGGCGCACAGTTTTCTAGATATTTTTCTTCCCAGTGTGCCCTGAAACTGCAGTGCCGTTTGCTGTCTTGTGACAAGCCAGCAGCTGCACGGGCATGCTACGCTGTTGGCCAGCCTCAGGCTTCCAGAGCTGGGTGAAAAAGGCTTTAGGTCTAGGCCGCTGCCGAAGCTGAGCGGTGGCTGACTGCCAGTGGTCTGAAGCCTACCAGTTGCTGGGGCAAAACTTCTTGGAGATTTCTCCCCTCCTCCCACATGGCCCCATCACCCTCACCTTGACCCTATGAAGACTGAACCAAGGCCCAAGGAAACACTTCCCCCAAAGCCCCCCCCCCCCCCCCCCCCGTGTGTGTGTGTGTGTGTGTGTGTGTGTGTGTGTGTGTGTATGCAGGTACACTTGTGTAGACAGGCCTGAGCAGTCAGAGGACAACTTCAGTTGTTCCTCAGGTAACATCTGTTTATCTTAGGTTTTTGTTTTGTTTTGTTGTTACTGTTTTGGTTTTCTGAAAACAGCCCTGGCTGTCCTGGAACTTACTCTGTAGACCAGGCTGGCCTCAAACTCACAGAGATCTTCCTGATTCTGCTTCCCAAGTGCTGGAATTAAAAGTGTGTGTCACTACTACCCGGCTTTATTTTGTTTTTAAAGTTTCTAGCTGGCCCAGAACTGAAGAGATCCATCTGCTTCTGCTAGGATTAAAGATGAGTGCCACAACGCCTAGCTAGCTTGTTTTGTAAGGAATTTTTTGATTTGTTTTTTACGAATGTGTGTGTTTTATATGCATCCCGCGCATGCCAGCAGCGCATGCCAGCAGAGGGCAGTGAGTCACTCAGAACTGGGGTCAGAGACAGCTGTAAACTGCCATGTGGGTACTGGGACTCAACTCCCTGTCCAAACCAGTTTGTCTGCTTGTTTTTGAGACAAGGCTTATCACTGGCTCAGAGCTCACCATGGAGGCTGAATGGCCAGTGAGCTCAGGGTCTGGGATACCCTTTCTCTACTCTCCAGCACAGAGATTCCACCCCCGCCACCTGAGTTATTTACTGGGATCCTTGTATTGCAAGGCAGGCACTTGCAGACAGCTGTCTCAGAGGCTCCACCCTCTGTCCTTTTTACGCAGCCCGGGGTGGGGCAGGAAGCACACCATGCCTTTTCCCCGGACACATACGTGCTCTTGGCCAGGCCCAGGGTGCCACACTTTGACTGCCCTGACACCCCATGACTTCTAAAGCACACACCTCCTCATGATTCCTGCCCTCCCGGCCCAGGGCATAGTGGTGCCCGCCATCCAGTTGCCGAATGGGAATGTTGAAGACTCGGCCTCTGAGGAGCACTGCCAGAGTGAAGGGCTGGGAACTGTGAGGCCCAGAGCTGAGGCGCACGGTGTAGGCTCCATCCTGTGGAAGGGACCCCAGCCATGACCTTCATCTTCTACTTGCCTAAGCCCAGCCAGTAAATGCCTCCTGGCCCTCCTGCTCCTGCCAGCTTCGTCAGCCCCAGGCAGAGAGTAGAAGGACTTTCAGAGAGGGCCAGGGTCGACAAATGCCCACCTTTTGAAAGTGAAGCAGGGCTCTCTCAACAGATTGCCGGTCACAGTTCCCTGAATACCAAGGCTGACCCAGCAGACTGCCATCCTATAGCACACACAGAGCTACTCAGAGATGCATTCAAGCACTGAGTTGGCATGGAGATCAGAGAACCCAGGGGCACAATTATTTATGTTTACATATGCCAGCCCCGGGCTGAGCCCTGGAAGCCAACCCAAGCAGTGCCTGTTCCTGTGGCACTCTGTGTTCAGTGCATGCATGCACGCTCCTGTGGTGGTGCAGGCCCCAGGCCAGGAGGGCTCCTGGGCAGGGACTCTCTCTCCAGAGGTGTCACCCACAGTCTGCCCCCCAGCACTTGCTCACCTCAGCAGCAGAGGTGCTCAGGGCAGGGGCTACAGAGGCAGCAGACAGGCGCCTTCCTGCTGAAAGAAGCAGGGAAGAGAGCTGGAGCCAGGAAGGGCGTGGGTAAGGAGGATTCACGGGAGGATGTGGCAGCAGAGGCTGCCAGGATGTCTAAAGCCCCACACAGGCCAGCCAGTGCTCATTCCCAGGCCCAGCACCCTGGGAGGACCCACCAGACAGGCCTTGCTTGATTTCCAAATGAGAACTGGTCTTGGGACACACACTGGCAGCTTCGCGATTTAGTGCAGACCCTGGGAAATGAGCTCAGCTGAAGTCAGAGCCTCAAGGCCCCCCTTGATGAAGTGAAGTAGACCTGAGGATCTGGGAGGGGGTCTGTTGCTGGAGGGAACGACCCTGGCAGAGCAGTCCCATTCAGGCTGAAGATGTACATACTCACCTTTCAGTGTGGCATCCACCGCTCCCTGGGACACAGGAAGTCTGGTCAGAGGGGAGCTGGCCTTCCAGGCTGCTGCCCCAAACCTGAAGTCTATCCTGGGCCTCCCTCCCACCCCTCTGGGCTCACTTCCTCCTTGACCACTAGCCTCTTACATTCGGAGCCTCCTGGTGACCGACCATGGACCTGCAAGGAGTGAATGGGGAAGCAGAGGTCAAAGGATTTCTTCTTTAATTATTTCTTTATTCTTTTTGAGTCAGGGTCTCACTAAGCAGCCTCAGCTGACCCAGAACTCTGTATGTTCAAGGACTGGCCTTGAACTCACAGAGATATGCCTGCCTCTGCCATCCAAATGCTGGGATTGAAGAAAGGCATTTGCTGCCACATCTGGCCTCTGGGGTTTCCTTTCTTAGTGAACCCAGTGTCCCTTGTTGTTCCCTCCCAATGTTGCCACATACTTGGACAATCCAGATGTTCTTGGCAGAGGAACTGGAGGCATCAGGGCTTTGGAGCTCAGAGTCCTAGTCAAGGCTGGGACTAGAACAGAGGGCAGGCAGGGTCTGGCTGGGAACCGGGCAGGGAAAGCCAGGCTGATCAGGAAGTAGCTGAGAACAGCCTGGGGATCTATTACTGTTGCTTTGACCTGGGCTCTCCTGGAGCCCTTCCAACCATGGGGAGATACCAGCTTGGCAACTGCAGCAGCTGAGAAGCTCTACCCAACCCTTGCTCTAAGGCTGTGACCTCTTTGTTACAGTGTGGGACCAAAGGCAGAAATGAAGACACCCATGTGGGGTCTGGAGAGGAGTATTTTGGAGGGACAGAAGCGGGGCCAGGGGAGTGTGTTCATGGGGAGTGTAGGGCTTCCGAGATGGGATGGAGTAGGTGCTCACGTGGATCTGGCTCACACTCCAGGTAGATGTCCTCATCAGGTTTCTCCGCGCGGTCTGTTACCTAAGGTGTGGGACCATGGCTGTGACTAGCCCTGTCTTTTAGGAATTTAGGAATCTGCCTAATTAGTGAGGAAGGAGGACACAGAAGAAGCCACTGACTGAGAGGGGCGGCTCTAGGCACTGCACTTTCTCCTTCTCTCCACAGGAGGGGTGTGTCCTGACTGGCTTCTTCAGGAGTGCCCACAGAGTGGGAGGCTCTGGGTGGCACCCTTAGGACCACTGGCTTATACCTGTGGCAGCGAGACAGACTCTGCTCCAGACCTTTCCCCCAGACTACCAGGTGCTCACTCCACTCCTACCAGTTTTCTAGAAAAATCCCTAGACTGTGGCGCTAGAGAAGGAGGCAGCTCACCGCTCGAGCAGGCGCAGCTCGCCCTGTAAGGAAAAGAAGAACCAGCATCGCACGAGCATCAGCCAGGAAGGGCCTGGACACCCTTACTCCCAATGCTGAGCCTCCTGCAGCCTGTTTCAGATCGAGCCCTTCAGATGGCCCATCCCCATCATGACATCCTGAGGTCCCAGCGGGGCAAGTGTCTGGACAGTGGAGGCAATCAGAGTGGTGGCCCCTGGGAACCCCACTGATGAGGGATGACAGTCAAAGGCCTCAATAGGGAGGGTCTTAGATTTGACTGCTTCATTCTAGGGTGTGCCTCACCTTGCCCAGGGATCACACCAGCTGAAGACAGGGGATGAGGGCCTCCGCTGTTGAAATGTCTAGGGCACACCCCTTCATGTCTCCTCACTGGTTTTGGTAGTAATGGTACTTGTACTGACTGCCTTGGGGGCTTGGCAAGCAATAAGGAGGTGTGGCTAGGAGGTGTGCAGCAAGCCCAAATTAAGGCAAACTCCAAATTCCACCCTGTGTAGGAGAGGACCCCCCCTCCCAGTGTGGAGCCATGGAGAAAGGGAGGACACTCCGCCTTACCTCGCCTTCCAAAAACAGGTCCCTGCTTTGGGGCTGCAGGTTGCAGGCTCGTTGCTGTCTTCAGCTGTGGGCATAACAGGGTTAGTGAGGGAGGAGGGAACGCAGGCACTTGAAGAGCAAGGACGTTGGTGTGTGAGGGAATACAGCTGTAACGCTGCTTTCAAAACTAACACTGCCTGAAGAGGAGGCGGGAGGGGCAGAAGTTTAAGGCCAGCCTGAGCTCCAGGAGACCCTCTCTCAACATCCCCCTCTCCCAGAAAACCCAACTGAACAAGCAAACATAAAACACTAGAACAAGCTGGCCATGGTGGGGCTCCCCTTTAATCCCAGCACTCTGTGAGTTCGAGGCCAGCCTGGTTTACAAAGTGAGTTCCAGGACAGCCAGGTCAGACACAGAAGCCCTGTCTTGGGGGTGGGGGTGGGGGAGGAATTAAGACTATATAACCAGAGAAGAGCAGGAGAAGGACAACACTTTCCTCAGCCTCTAGCTTGGGTCCTTTCTTTATTGTAAATTTTTTCTCATTTATTTATTTATTTTTATTCTGTAAAATACAAAAGCAAAGTGGTAGTTTCCAAAGTGGAAAAGAATCTCAGTGAGAAAGGGAGCCCTAGAAGGGTACTCTGGAGCCTAGGTGAGGACCGCTGAGCCTTGACCCCAACCTCAGGAGGGGGATATAAGGTGAATGAAAGGGTCCTTCAGGCAAGTGGGAGGGCTACCGTTATTTGAGTCCAGTTTTTTGATCCACCCCATATTAGAGGTTTCAGTACTTCTAGAATATAAATGTGTGTTGGAGGTGGAAGGGGGTTTGCAAATGAGATGTCTGTTAATATTTACTCACTGGGAAATGGTAGCCTGCGGTAGGGTGGGTAGGGAAGAAAGGATTTACAGGGAGTCCTCTGGCCACGGTAGGCTGACGCACAGGTGGTGATGGCTTGGCTGGATCCAGGGGCCCAGAACAATCTGAAAGAGACTCCATGCTTTGTAGGCTGGAAAGAGGGAGGAAATTCCTCCCTAATATGCTTCCATTTTCCACCCACTCCCCCTCAGCCCCATCTCTCCCTCTCTCCTCCTGTCCCCTCTACTTATTGGCGCCTTGACAGCCCTGTCTCCATGGCAACCGGAGGCAGTCAGCTTCCCTGCCCCCACTTGGCTGAGCCCAGGGGCTGAGATGCCAGTGGTGGTGGCCTCCCCACCCTGGTTGGGAGTATGTACAGAGATTTCAGAAGGGGCACAGAAGGCCCTAGGGACTGGGTCGGGCTTCCGGCTTTGTTGATGTTGCCTTAGTTACCTTGCCCTCCCTCCTGTCTCCTCCCCATTCTCCTTCTTTACAGTTTTTTTGTTTTGTTTTTTGGTTTTGTTTTGTTTTGTTTTGTTTTTTCCTCCTTTCCTTTATTCCTCTGGCCTTTTCTGCCCAGCTAAGAGGCCTCAGTGGCAGCTAGCTGAGGCCCTTCCCCTGTCCCAGATCAGGCAGAGGGAGGAGAGGCGGGGCCTGGACTCTCCTTTTGTTGGACGCTCTTGCCCTGACCCAAGCTCTCAGCCTCTCCCTCCTCAGCCCTCACCTAGGTATAAGGAGTCCTCTTTCGAGCCCAGAGACTGTGCAGGGGCCAGACTGAGGGGCAGAACTTCACAGGGGGGCAGCTCATATTTATCCTCCTCTTCTACGTCCTCCTGGGCCTTCAAGAATGGATGCTGGTAGCACAGAGAAGGTGGAGGATGAAACATACAGGCCCTGGTAGCTGATGCCTCCCTCTCTCCACCACACCCCAAATCCTCAGCAATTGGACTTACCCTGTGTCTCCAAGTCTCTGGGCCAGGCAGGAAAGATGGGCTGGCTACATTTTCTCTCCAAACTGGGGTATCTGGGTAGATAGACTAATATTGCTTAATCCCAGCCTACCCATTTCTAGCACAAGGCTTTGCTCCCTCTCTGGCAAATAATAAATCGTCTGCCCTTAACTATGGGCTTCAACCATACAACCAAAGGAATCCATAAAGATGGACATTTCTAGCAGCATACACGACAAGACAGGTATGCAGATGCTTGCTCTGCCTATCAGCAATTCCTGACACTTCACCCAGATTCCGACCAAGACAGTGAAGAGAATCAGGCTTGAGTGCTGGCCTTGCTGGACAGTTGGTGGGACAGGATATCTAGAGTCACTCAGGGAGATCCAGCTGTGGGGGACCTTGGTCTGCTGGGCCCCTTATAACCCACGGTGTCACTTACCTACACATCTGGCAGGTGGGAGTGGTGGCCTCAACCTGTAAGCACACTCTACTCAATTCTGCCCAAGGGGAGCCTGAATTGTGTCAGGGTGGCATTGCACGCTATGCCATTCAGACTCATCACTGTGAATGCTCCCTGAAGAAGCTGTGTGAGTGGTGAGCCGGAGATCAGAGCAACAGAAAGGGAAGACTAGGGGAAGGGAAAAGCTAGTGGCCTTTGGGTGCACAGCTGGATGAACTGGTACCCCAGGGAAGCTGGGCACGGTGCTGAGGAAGAGGGACGCACACAAATGGTCAGTTCCCTGAGTAGAGATAGATGGCTGTTCCAGTGAAGGAGGCAGTAAAGTGAAGACAAGAGGGAACGGCAAAAGAAAGAGGAGGGTACTCACCGGGTGTTGCTGCCACTGAACCTGTCCTAGAGAGAGGCAGAAGGGGATGGAGGGTGTGGTCAGTACAGCTGGACTCTCCCTGTCCAGACCCCTGAGCCTCCAAGAGTCTGAGCAGGTCTATGTGCCTGAGGCTCCTCTGGAACCAAGCCTCACCATGGCAAGGTAGAAGAGCTGAGCTCCTTTGCCTCTCCTGAGCCCAGGAGCTGCCACAAATGTCCTGGGGGACAAGGGCCCTATTGTCCCTGCTATTTACATATTCATATTCTAAGTATTGGGAAGGTACCCGCCTCTACCTGTGGTCTCCTACCCAAAATGGACTTTATCCAGGACACTCCCAAGGCCCAGCCCCCCTCTCATGGCTGTGGTCTCCAGACCTACGATAGACCAGGTTCGGCTCTCTGATTGCCGTCACCTTTTCAGACCTGTACAGGTTCCATCAGTGGACAGAATCCCTTCTGTCACCTCTCCTGGCCCGTCTTTCTCCCATCATTTGCTACTGTGTGGTCACTGCTTAGAGAAGTTAAAGGTTGGGAGAAGATTCGGAGTCTCTCCTCTTTTAGGTGAGCACTATTCTTTAGTGGAGGTGTTTATGAAACATCTAATTATAGGCTGGGCATGTGGTGCACACCTTTAACCCCAGAACTTGGGAGGCAAAGGCAGGTGGATCACTGTGAGTTTGAGGCCAGCCTTGAGTGACTCTACATCATGAGTTCAAGGACAGCCTGATCTACATAGTAAAACCCTGTCTCAAAAAAAACAAAAATAAACAAAAAACCACCACTACCAACAACAAAAATTTGTCATCAAACATATGCTACACACTAGATAGTTCCAGGTGGTGAAGATGCTACAGAAAACAGTCAAACCTGACATGTGTCATTTCCTCACTGGATTTTCAAAATAGCTTCAGGATGCAAGCATCAGTTTTATGTTTACTTTCAAATGAAGTCCCTGAGTCCACTGGTCAGCTGGAACTTCTGTAGCAATAGCACAACACTGAATGGCTTAAACAACAAAGATTTTCTTTCCTCCAAGCTCAAGAGGCCAGAAGGCCAAGATGGGGGCTGGCTTCCAGTGAAGCCTGTGTTTCTGGCTTGGCTCCTGCCACCTCTCTCCGAGTCCTCAGGTGGCCTCCCGAGGGAAGCTGAGCAGGGTATTACTGCTTCTTATGAAGACACAAGAGCACAGATAACATCAGGCCTTATGTTTATGACCTCATTTAATCTTAACTGCTGCCCCAAAGGGTCAATGTCCAGCTATAGCCACCAAGACTAAGGGTTCAACATTCAAGCTGGAGGAGGGCAAACTCCATTCAATCCATAATACTGAGGCTGAGAAACGGAGAAAATTCCCTGGGCTGGGGACTAGCCCAGGTGATAGAGCACTCACCTAGCATACAGAGCCCTGTGTTTGCTCCCCAGTACCCTATAAGCCTGGTGTGGAATCTATACTCCAGTGGGAGAATGAGAATTCAAGGCCATCCTCAGTTGCATATCACATTCAAGGACAGTTTGGGCTACTGAAGACCCTGTCTCAATAAACAAACAAAAAACAAACATTTAAAAAGCCACTACAGTAATTCAGTAAGGAGACAGGTAGTAGTATGGGAAAGTAGGGAGAATGGAGAAGACATGGGATTTAACCCCCCCCCCCCAGGTTAAACTAGGTACTGGGCCTATTCGTTGCCCTTCACACCCTGCCTCAATGCCCTTCCATATCTGGACCAAGAGTCAGGGGACAACTTTCTACCTAAGGGATTCTCTTGTTTATAAAAGAGGAGAGCAAGGACTGGGATCAGCAACTATGGATCAAAGTGTACAGGCCAGACTGAGCGGAACATTCTAGATGCCACTCCACCCCAACCCTAACTGATAAGAGTTTCCCAGTGGTACCACTCTGCCACTTCACCTTGGCGCTTCTTTCCCGCTCCTGGCTTTGCATAGGCAAATTGCAAGGTCCGGGAGCAGAAAAGGGCCGCAGGGAGAAAAGTCTCCGTGGTCAGGGTGTGGACACCAGCTGCACAGAGGTGAGAGGAGGGGAAAGCAAGAGGCCTGCTTCAGCAGCCTTGTCAGACAGGTAGCTTTAAAAAATATTTTTATTTTATGTGAGTTGGTGTTTAGCCTACATGTATGTGTGTAAGGGTGTCATTTTGGAGCTACAGACGGTTGTGAGCGGCCATGCGGGTCCTCTGGAAGAGCAGCAGGTGCTCTCTAGCCTTCTAGGTAGCTTTGAACAGCCCTTTTCTGTGACTGGGATCACTTTGTACATGCCATGACAGACCCTCTGGATGAATTTCTAGATGGGGGAATTGCAAGGGCTCCAGTTTTGAAGGTTGACTCTCTCACTGTCTGGCAGCACCTGAGTGGCCATTTTATGATATTTTCAGAGCACAAAGTGATTCCACAGATTATTGAGAGCCCAGCTATCTATCCCCAGTGTAAACAGTCCACAATTTAGGCCAGGGTAGTCAGTTAACCCTTAGGGAACACAAAACCAGTTCCTCCACTTGCGCTATCACTGGAATGCAGAGGCAGAGGCAGGTGGATCGCTGAGGCCAGCTTGGTCTACAGAGTGAGGGCCAGGACAGCCAGGGCTACTCAGAGAAACCCTGTCTCAAAAAAACAAAGAAATACTTAGGTCCCCAGAGCCCCCAAGACTACAAAAATTAGACACCCCAGGCAGGAGCTGGGAGGCTGCACTAGTGGTGGCCGGCCATCTTACTGGACGTCAAGCCTGAGGAGAGCCGCTCAGTGCCAGGGCTGAGTGTGGCTTCTCGGATCACCGCGGAATCACCTATAGCCCTTAGCTCACAGGCTCACAGGGCTTTCCTGCAAAGACAGATTGACACAGGCCCTACCCCTGAGGGGCTGTTTGGGTGATAGAGAGAGCAAAGAGATGGTTAGTGTCCCCGAGTTTCTGTTTCCTTTGGGATGAATGGGGACATTAACAGAACAACTCACAAGGTGCAGGGTGGTTCAAGACTGGAAGCCCAGGCTGAGGCAGGAGGATCATGGCGAATTCCAGACCTGCCTGCCCTACATAGTGAATGCATGCCAGTGTGAGATTATGTCGTAAAACAAACAACACAAAGAACAAAACCCATAAGACAGCCACCACTGGCAGAGCTTCCTGAGGTTGCAATGATCTAATTCCATGTGTTAGCTCTCCTGGAGTCAGGGCACGGACGCTGAGGTGGGGCTGCTTAAAAATGGAGGAGGTGTCCAGCTGGAGTTGAGGTCCTGGTGTCAGTAGAGGAAAGGCATCGAACGGAAGGTGTGGGGTGGCTTCTGAGGACCTGAAGAAAGACCGGTGAGCAGGCTGTGCACACAGGTGCTGGCGTTCTGCCAGCAAGATGCCTCACGTCATGCCTTAGGCCAAAGTGGGCCCTAAGAGAAATATACTCGAGGCGGTGCAGTAGCAGAAGAGCTCTCTCCAGAGGCTGCTGAGGAGAGGCGATGGGTAGATGGCTGCACTCAGCATGCCTCTGCCAGGTCCGCTTGGCCAGGACCTTTGGCACATTATTTCTGGAAGGTTCTCTGATCTTCCTGGAGATGCTATAAAATATGTTTTCCCTCCAGATTTATTGACCACAACAAGATTCTGAACGCAGTGTCCTGAGCCTGTTGCTTCAAAACATGAGACTGACCTGACCTACACGAGACCTTGTCTCAAAAACAAGAAAAGAAAATAGCCAGTGTTGGGGATATGCACGTGTAATCCTAGAATTTGGGAAGAATCAGGAGGATTAGGAAAAAGGGTCATCCTTGGCTAATTAATGAGTTCGAGGCCAGTCTAAACTACATGAGAATCAATCCCAAAACAGGGTTCACCAGATAAAGTAATTTTCAATAACCTGTTCAATACCCAGGACCCATAGGAAGGAAGGAGAGAAACAACTTCCATAAATTATCCTCTGATCTCCATGTGCTCTCTGACACACACACACAGTCTAAAACAATAAAGTAACTTTGTTTTTACAGTCAATCGAGCTGGGCATGGTGGCTCATGCCTTTAATCTCAGCACTCAAGAGACTAAAGCAGAGGCAGGCAGATCTCTGTGAGTTGTGGGCCAGCCTGGTCTACATAACAAGTTTCAGGACAGCCAGGGCTACATAGTGAGACCTTGTTTCAAACCATGACAAAAAGTTAATCCATGAGTATTCCTCCCTTGGAGCTCCTCCCACTTTAGGTGTTCTTTCTCACTTTTTCTTAATAAAACTATGTTTGTTCTGCTTTTGTTGTTGTTGTGGAAAGCCAGCCGACCCAGGGCTTTCTCAGAGGCCCTGAAAGGACAAAAGAAACCTTAGTTCTGTGTCCTCGCCCTGGAGGACTTGGAAGCTGGCCCAGCTCCTGAGGACCCAGCGCCTCCCCCTGGGCTGTGGGCACCAGCCCTTCGGCGGCTGGGCCTGTGGTATCCCCTGTTCTCTTTGCCAACATTTGAAGTGGTGTCTGAAGTCTCTGCTGACCTCGGCCCAGTCTCTCCCTGAAAATAGCAATAAATGTGCTTGACATAAGTCAGCAGCAAGACCTCCTGACCAGCTATTGCTTTTGTCTTCTTTATTCCTCACTCCCAGCCCTCCAAGCACACACTCAGTCCCCCCTTATTCCTGCTGATTCCACTTAGCTGTTGTTGTGGTTTTTGAGACAGAGTCTCAGTGTGTACTCCTGGATGGCCTGGAACTCTCGATGTAGACCAGGCTGGTACTGAGCTCACGAGATCTGCCTGTCTTTGTCTCCAGAATGTTAGGATTAAAGGTGTGCTAAGGTGTGTGCTGCTGCACCCAGATACTTTCTTTCTTTCTTTTTTTTTAGTCAAAGTCCATCAGTACAGCCAAGCATATGAAGGCAGGAGGTTCAAGACGACTATCTGCTACAGAGCAAGTTCAGGGTCAGCATGGGCTATGTGAGACACTGCCTCAAAACAAAACAGAACTCAAATAGTAAACAAAGAGGGTGGAACAAAGTGATGTGATTTCCAACATAAAGAAGCCAATGATCTGGGGAAAACCAGGCCCTGGGAGTGGAGAGCCAGGCCCGAGGCAGATCACAGGGTGAGGAGTCAGTACTGAACGAAACAGGTGAAAAGTCAGAGTTTAAGTTCTTCCAGGTAGAGAACCCAGCCACGGTGGCTTATTGAACTCTGTCTTCTAGTGGGTTCAAGCTGGTGCCAGGGAGA